TTTTTATTCTTGACACCTTTACATGTAGGCAAAAATTCGGCAAGTAGTCAGATCAGCGCGCAGCTTAACTGTGCTCAGTTATGCGATGAAATCGTGGTACTGTGGCGATGCGCCGTGCTGAATCCCATGCTCTCCCCACAGAACCGGCGACAGGTACAATGTTTACAATGCGCTGCTCATTGGCAAGTTGGCGTCAATTTTATGAGGGAATTTTGTAATAAACTGTTTTCTCAGTTGGCAGCTTTGTTACGAACATACCATCGCACAGCAGTGGATCGGATTTGGAAAGTAATCCGCGGAACAGGAGGGCAAGACGCCGCTGTCGTTAGCAGCAGCCATCAGGTCCTTTTGGAAACCTTGTTCTTGATTTATGGATTATGGTTGCATTTTCAAAGCATTTTCAGCGCACTTACTTCCCTAATTTGAAAATATACATGACTGTACCGTTTCAGGCAGCAATCCTTCTCAACTCGATTCAAGATTCCAATAATTGTCCTTTATCTGCTAATAATGCCCATTTTGGACTTACACAGTTTCCGGGATTTCATCCGGCTTTGCAGGTAATTATAAAGTTATGAAATTCTCAGTACGTTGGGCCTTACTTCTGCAGTTGATGTTACTATGTGAAATTTACGTTCAGGTTTGCCACGCTCTAATTGATGAGACGGTACCAGGCGTTAGTCAAGTTGCTGTTTTACATTTGCCTGAGGTCTGTAGTCTTCACTATATTTTCTTTACTTATCACGTATTTTTGACATATATATTCATGTAGGCATGCGGTAGTGATGCGAATGTACCACTACAACCATTGGCAGTTGGCTCAATGCAAAAGAAAAACGACAAAGCTAAGAAAAAGAGGAAGAAGGTGCGTTGTAGCTATGAATTGTGCCTATCAGATTTGACATCACTATGCTCCAGAATCGTATTCGGTCCACAGCTGCAATGGCTTCGTTAGACTTTCCCCCTCTTCCCATTTTCAACGATGAAGCTTCTCTGGACCGTGCTGTTCGCTACGCTATCAGAGCTGCTGTTGGAGTTAGTCCTGTTCTTTA